TGTTTTTCATAATAGTTTAATTTATTAATATTTATATTTATGCACCAATTGATCTCAATTTATTTGTCAATTTTAATATTAATCTACGTTTTAACCTACATCTTAATATTTTAAAGACTGATGATTGCAAGTCAATATCAACCTGAATCTATTTTGGATGCTTTAACTCCATATTTGTCGGGATCAAGACCAATAGTGATTTATCACCTTAATAAAGAAATGTTAATTAACACCTGTGTACGTATGAGGATCTCTAAAAATTATCTTAATCCACAAATTACTGAAAGCTGGTTAAGACAATATCAGGTAAATATTATAACAATAATTACAATCGTAAGGCAAATACATAGTACCGAATAATAATGAATTTGAATTTTGTTTAGGTGCTACCTGGGAGAACACATCCATTTATGTCAACTAGTGGTGGTGGTGGATATTTATTAACTGCAACATGTGTAATAATAGATGACGACAGCTCTCCTTCAGTATCAAAGAATTCTTCTAATTCTAAAACTAATCAATCAAATAATAATAATAATATCAATAATATCATTGGAGAAGAAGATTCAGTAAAGCATGGAAAAAAACCTAAAATAGAATAAAAAATATTAAAAAATTTGTCTTTATTCATTGTCACCAAACTTGGATTTATTTTTTTATTTTTTTTTTTGTTACACTCGAAGACAAATTAGAATTGGAAGAATACGTGGAGGAAATGATGTTATCAATTGTATTTGGACATTTTCGTTTCATTCCTTTAACAATGTTACTTGACGAATTCATTGAATTAATAATGTGGATTTTTTGGTGATAATGCTGATGGTGATGGTTGTTATTTTCTTTTTAGGGCCCTCATCCTCGCCTTCCTTTTTGTCGTCATTTTTTTTGTAGACAAAAAAAACCCTCAATCTATGTTAATATAAAAATTAATGTTTACAAAAATTAGCCTGGTTGATTACGTATTGTTTTTAAAATGATAAACTTAGTAATAGTAACGATCTACAAAAAAAAAAATTTAAATTCGCGTATGTATATTAATGTTTTTTTTCCATTTTTAAAATACCATCAAAAATAATAAAATGTCAACTAGAAGAAAACGAACCTCCAAGGCAATTTCAGATGATGAATCTGTTCAATATATTAGTAGTAGTGAAAGACAGGTACTTGTATATTTATCTTAATACCCCTTCTTATGGTAACAATACTACTAATACGCGTTCTACAAATCATTATTACCAT